GCCACCTCTGAGATGATCAGTTCTTTCATGCAGCCTTTGGTATATCACATACGCTGTTAACAGATAACGGTTCCGTATTTACTAGTCCAGCATTTCAAGACTCTCTCGAAAGCAACAGCATACATCATGTGACCTCAGCCCCCTACCCCCAGCTTCGAAAGAGGTTGGCAGAAGGAGCTGTCTAGGTGATCAATGACGGATTACGGGAACAAACATCTGCACCACTGCGAACAAAGTTGGACAAATTGCTTTTCGGCTACCGCACCACGCCAAACGAAGCTACTGGGATGAGCCCAGGCGAGTTGGTCTTCGGGCGGAGGTTGAGAACACGGCTGGATCTTCTAGTTCCTGACCAGAGGCCACGTGTCGAGGTCAAGCAAAATAAACCTAAGACAGAGTACGGCCAGAAAGCTTCCGATTGTAGATTCTGCATGAACCGATCTAGGTCCAGTTACCCAACGAAACGACCTGGAATTCTGAAGAGTTACGCGAAGTTGCGGGACAAAGTACGGTGCTGGCTTTACCTGATGGCAGAGTAGTTACTGGGCACGTGAATCACGTCCGCTATCGTTCCGTTACGATGCCGCCAGATGACGCGTCCCCAAAGTGGCATACTGCCCTGATAAAGACGCAGAACTCTTAAAACAGGCCAATCAAAGACTCAGAAATGTCGCCGTTCAATTCGGCTACGCCAACCCGTCTATTAGTACCAAACTAGCGGGAATGATCGAAACTAGAGGGAGAAGCAGTGTGGCATCATCACGGCCAATCTACTGAGCCATCCCTATTCCTTGCATACACCTACTGGCGCGTGTCATTAATCCGCTCACCTACTCATCCATTGTCCAAATTTGGAGTACTGGATCAATGCCTTGTACAGCATGCTGGTTAGAATATAGTTTTGCCTGCTGATTTTCTGACGTGTTTTGCTGTGCGATACTTCGGCTACGAGCCAGCCACCGAGCGTTAGTTCCGCATTTGCTAGACTATAACACTGCGGTATCATATGAAAATTACCTTGCATTTACGCACGCTGAACTGCTGCGAATGTTTGGTTGACCACTGATATACCATAACTAAGGTACACTGAAGTAAATTCTGACTGGCGTCCGCCTGAGGCCTACACCATCACTTGATATCGATAGCAAAATGTAGGAAATGTAAAAGGATTGTTTGTACAAGAGCATTAATAAATACCGAAAACAATCGTGACTGTAGAAATGAGCCCTAAGGCACAGCAGACTTGACTGGTGTGGGGTCAGATAAGGAACGCCTTACTCTGACCACTAATTGTTGTACCAGGAAATGTCTGGCGTTCCAGCTCAAGTGAGGGCCACCCATTCCATAAGCTTGAGGTTTGGAAAGGAGAACCAAATCGTTTAAACGAGCGTAGACCGACAAATCCACGTAGCTCACAGCAACGGCCTCTCCAGCGTCGACTGACTCGGTTCAACTACTCCGCATTATTTATAAATTCATTGTACACGATCGTTGTCGACGAAGCGCATGTTGCTCGGGAGCAATAATGTTACAACTTTTTAGATAACACACCAACGCATCGGAAACAACGAACTATTAAGTTGGACAGTACAGGAAGAAGCAATACTGGGCAGTAGTTTGTAGATCCAGTACTGCTCCCGTCATTCTGATGAACAAAAGCAATAAAAACCGCTGCCATGACATGTACAGAGCTGTTTACTGGGTGCTTACAACAATGTATTGACGAAATGCGGGTTCCCACAATGTGCAAACATGCCAAATATTCTCTAACCTGCAGTACCGCAATCGTGCGAGCCCACGAACTACCGAGTTTTATTAATCTCTTACAGTTTATGTCTTAAGTTAGGGAAGGTATTATTGCAAAGCTGCTAATGGAATACCTTGTGTGCACCAGCATTATACTGCTTCGGCGGTGGGTATGCAACCGAAATCGATTCTGCACGTCAACGCTGCTAGACCGAGCAAACTTGATGGAAACAGTTGTTGCCCCAGTGGTAGTCAACGTCGTATGCCTGACCTACACAAAACGTTTGGCGGCCTGGACTAGCACATTACCTTTCACAAGTTTTATAGTTGTGGAATCAGTGACCCTGTCGTGAATTAGATAAGGAATTCTGTTACTCAACATCAGTCGAATGTGTGAGTCCGCGGCGTAATTTCCGACCCATTTGGAGTCCAGCGTGGTGTACTCTAGGAATCGGTACTAGGATAACCTTTGTTCCCAGTATTAATCAACCATGTGACTAGTATGCACCGGTCAGACCAGCTAACTTTTAACGAGGATGTCAAGATCTAACTTTACATCAAGTCAGTGGACGAGCATGAAAAACTACAAAGAGACTGTGACATGGTCATCAGAAGATCGGTTCCAGTTTAACGGCGAAATGCAAAGTTCTGAGCATACGCCAAGGGCGTGCTCATGAATATCGACTTGGAGAGTAGCAGATGCAACATACCCAGGGTTAATCGGGCAAGTTGACCTTGGCTAATCTAAACGGGCTGAAAAGGGATTGGAAACAGCCAGTTAGTGACATACCCTTTACGAAGGGATGCCACCAAACGTTGTTCATTAACCCTTCTGACTGTAGCTGCGAAATGACACTGCTCTATAACATTTCAATGTACGAGGATGCTAAGCAATATCAGACATTAGTACTGTTAATCAACAACCTACCGGATACACCATGGAAAGGAAAAGGTCCCAAGGATTTTTCCACCAGTCAACCCACTCCAAGCCATGAGCTTCGCGCTATGTTGCACACGTGAATCGCTACATTGACGTGAGTTATTTGTTTCCCAACATGTTGCTTATCTTGGAAAATGCGGGGGGGAAAAGAGCCTCATCAGTGAACAAAATGGAATGCACGTGCAGAGTTTAAAAAACAAACCAGCGGATTCCAAGCGCTTTCGCGAATGGAAGGTGTGGTGGCAGCAGGAGGGCACACCCACACATTCGGCACAATCGGCTCGTGCCTACCTGAACGAGACATTCGGTGGACGTTGGATCGGTCGCGGAGAACCGATAGAATGGCCTGGGCCATCAACTGATCTAAAATCCCATGGACTTTTACCTATGGAGATAGTTGCAGCGCATAGTTTATAGAACGAAACCTAACAACATGGATGAACTGAAAGACAGCATTAGGAACGAATGTAGGCAGCTTTCGTTCGAGATATTACAGAAAGTGCTCGCCAACACCATCCGGCGAATGCTCCACCGTAGCCAAAACGACAGAGAGCACTTCGAACATCTACTTGTTGATACTTACAGACATTTCACCTATTCCATGTAGATATAATTAATGCAATGAATAAATGTACCTTCTCGATTGTACTTGAGAAAGACCATCGAAGGCCCGATCAATTTGTACAACTAGCATTTGCCTGCTTGCGAGGACAATATTTGTATTCATGACTACAGTGGTATGCTGTCTTATGGTGCCACTAGTTCGTCGGAGCAGACTGGAATCTAACAGCATTTTCACGTCAAGACAAGTCAAGAATTCATTTTTATGCACCCATGAAGGGTGAATTTTCGGCTGTAACACACACTCAATCAAAACGGTAAAGCGAACAAGACAGAAACCTTAAAAGGTGCTCCAGGCAGTATGATACCCTTTAGCAGCGAAGTAGCCTAATAAAAGTTTACGGGTATGTTCGAAGCCAGTCAACAGGCGATAATAGCTTTCGTGGTGATAGCAATGCGGCGCCCATCGACCAATCATCACATACGGCCATACTGTTTTGCTCTATTGCTAGCACGGCGAACCATTAACCACCTCGCAGGGAACCCATTTTGCTGACATTTCACCTGCGTGAAGGCTGACTACCGATCGATCGAAGCATAACACGTTCAGTGTGGCTGTGGTGTCTGGCTAACGTCCAGTTCTCACAGCCCAAAGTCGTGCGTTCCCTTAGTTCTCCCCTGCGATCCACGAATGACAGGTCGATTGCGGCTGTGCTGCTTGCTAACGTTCACTTCTCACAGCCGAACGGCCGGTGTGCCCTGTAATCGTAGACACACATGTCGCGCCTCTATGCCCCACCTCACCACTGCCGACAAAGCAATTTGCGCCGTTGGACAGGTAGCCATTCAGCGTACTGGGTACGTCAGCACTTGAGTACAGCCGGTCCCAGCTCCGGACATGATTAATAAAACACCCTTTAAAGTAGCTATCTTGTCTACTTAACCTATATCTTTGGGTTACCTACCATGAGCTTTGTTTCGATAGATGGAAAATGCACCACGGTTGCTGAATAACATTCGCCGAGCTTGTTTTCGATGGGCAGACTTCACACTGCTCCCGCATGAAGTGCGTTCTGAACACCATACATCAAACACACGGCTCCCAAGTATATCTATCTATTCGCATCGCGTGCCTAACCACCAAGTCAACAGGGAAAGGGAACCAATTATGGTGCTAAAGTGTGAATCATGGGATAATGCACTCAGACTGAACGCACGCAAGGGAACGTATCGCGCTCGTCGGGAAATGTACCCATTATTTATGTTTATTGTGGATAGTTTAGCCGCCTAATTTAGCTAACTATTTGTAAGTAAGTAATTACTTAGTTTACCACCAGTAGGCTGTGATCCGGATTACCTTCCAACACTCAGCTATCGCGGTCTCTGTTACGTTTTTGTGTTCAGGCAAGACTCATTCTCTTTTCTTTTGATATCCAACTGGATCATTTCATTTACCCACAGTTAGGAGACAATGCAGCATTAATTGTACATGAGAATTACGTAAAATAAATGTTATCGGAAAATGCATGGTGGAGCATTTGACATGTGCGCACTAAGACATTTCCTAATAGGCATTTCCAGGCGTAGTTGGTTGAAGTGCATTTCATGTAATTCAGTAGAACAACGCTTCAAAGTTTCTCATTTTGCACCTCACAGAATATTACGTAGGAGCAGATTTAGCATGGTACTAACCTTTACTTTTCAGTATGACCGGTGGAAGGAAGATAAAAAAAAGGTACTTCGAAAAGCTCACCGCCAGATCCGCTGTCTCCTTTGGCAGCTGAATCAACTCAGATGCTTGCAGAAGCGCATTGCACAAGCTTGTAGTTCGTCGTATCAAACCACCAGCCATCTGTTATAATGAGGAACATCATATGATTGAGCGTTGTACAAGCACATACCCGGTCAGCATTATCATCATCGTAGTGAATTAGAAATTTTTGTTACCCAAACGCAATCAGCGATATGCAATAGGCTATCACTCCTTTATGAATGTCAGCTGTTCCATTGTCGGAAACTGGAAAAACTTTTTATATTCAACGTGGACTGTAGCATCCCCCAAAGTAATTATTTGGGGTAATGAACTTCAAGGATATGGGCAGGAAGGTAACACACAAGGACTACTATTCTTCGGGTGTATTTATGCGAATCCTGATAGGCACTCTAACTAAGACACGTGAGTGAGACGTGACAGAAGCACTTGAAGCCGTAGTAAGTTCTCACAAAAGAAAGCTTACCTGAATGCATGCACAACATCAAAAGCCCTGAGGACACCACGCTCAGGATCCTTCAAAACAAAAGAAACGTTTTGCATTCGGTTCCCTCAATGAGCACGGCTTCATTTATCATTTTCCCTTGCTACTCTTGATATCGCAACATTAATCTACTAGGAGCAAACGTATTCTGTGGACACCAACTCGGACTGTTGACCACAGAGCAAAAATAGCGGTAGCTTCAACGCGTCTGTGTCATCAAGAAACGCACATGAACAGGCTGATCTACACAGATACGACGGCCGCTTTTAATGAACATTCCAGGTATGGGGTCCAACTATATACTGCACGTTTGCAACGTGCATGGCAGTGAAGAATAAGCCGCGCCAATCCTCACTTAGTAATCCGCCATGGCGAACTCACTAATATCTATGGATCATGGATTTAAGTCCAAGTCGTAGAACAAAATAATCGGCTGGATCCAGTAGATTTGTCGTGTACCTGAAAACACTCTTTCAGTATGTTACAACATTGGATTACACTGTGGTTTGAACCTTCACAACGTCCATTTGTTTCACACATTTGTTTACCCAATCTGCCCTTGTATGTCCTGTGCTACACTGTCCCTTGAGCTGGCTGATCCGCTTTCTAATTTTGTATCATATACAATACATATTGGGTTCAGTTGACTCCAACTTCTCTACTGTCCCGTAGTTGACGGGTCTATTTCGTGTCATTGTTACCGAGTAGGCGCTACACAACAATTGGTGACTCCGGTCAAGAACACGCCGTCCGCTATTTTGTATCGTTATACTGGGGAAGTTCCAATTACTTCGTAATTCAATAGTTGTGATCATTTCGTTTTCTCACTTACCACATATTTTATTCGCTTTTTGTAGTGCATTATCTAAATGATAAGCCATCTCCATAAGCGGTTAGCACCGTAGGGTCTGTTATTGTCATTATAGTACCGTTAGCCCTCATTGTTTTGGGAGAGTGATCATTTGGCAAGATTCTTGCATTTAACATCCATCTTTCATAATTGTACCATTTCTTCTGACTTCGATAGGTATCACTGGTTGACACCTCAACCTCCTCAGAGTATATTCTAGCAGATGAGACATCATTTTGCCCCCAACTTTTAAGGAAAGACGAGAATCTTATGTAGGTCATTATTCAGCAAATCACACCTTTCGACAAAGTCCGCCTGCGGCAACTGTAGTGAACATGAAACATTTACGCTTTCAGTATTTTGTGACATTGGATTTTATTCTTGTTTGTATCTTTCGATCGTCCATTGGTGTCACTGATGGCAAGTCTAGTTCACGTTCGAACTCTCTGAGATGCGCACGCTACTTGCGGTGCGCTTTTGCTACTTTACTTCTAGTTCATTGGGGCTCTTTACAGTACACGTTGGGTCCGACTACATACTCATTTCTGAACAATTGGAATCAGTATTGCTTCCTGTTAGTTCTTGTAACAACCAGTACCTGAGTTCCGCTCCACAGTTGATGAACCCGAATGCGAGCACGGTTCCGCCATCGCTGAAATCATTTTTAATGCAAGTTCTTTTTCTTAAATGAATTGTTTTGTAACTATTATTTTGTGAAAATCTATGGCACTTATAGACACTAAAATTTTCAGCTCAACTATTAGTGACACATCGCTATGTGTCACCCCAATCCTATATGATGACCCTCATTTTGGTTTGTCTTTCAGAGTTTTTGCGTCATAATATTATTTCTGACCAAGCTGTGGTCAGTTGCTAGGTGACTGTTACTTCAGTCGATTGTATTGATTAGTTAGTTCAGCCACACCGAGTTCTTATTGCTTTTGCTTGCATTGACCAAACAATAGTTTCTCGCCCCTATTTTAACTCGTCTGCCATGGAAGCCATGTCGCACGGCTTCGTCCGACACACTGTTTCGTACTATGTCTTGTACTTGCGTAACTGCAGTCTGGGGGCGTGCTTTACCTGGATTCGTTACTACGTATTGCTGGCGACGGGATCCAGGTGAACCATATCATTAATCCACCTGCTAATTGTTGGTCTTCGGCTGAGGACAAAGCAACCCTATCAAGCTGGATGAGGTGGAAGAAATCATTTATTAACTACCTGGCACTACTACCTTTTTGAATCCCATGCTTTCACTTTGGGAGTCCCACAAAATACGACTATCCAGACAAGTGCTGGGAGATGAAGACCAGCGACATTATGATGCATTACATGTAGAAAATTTTGACAATATTACATCGGTCTTGGATGAATAAACCACACTGTGGGGATTGAAACAGAATGTTTGTACTGCGAGATACTGCTTTTCAAAGCTTGTACAGAAACCGAACGGGAGCGTCAACGATTTCATTGCACACATCCATCAGTTTATTCCCGAGTGTAAATACAATGAAATTCCGCCCGACAAATTTGAAGAAGAAATAAAAATACAGTACTTAATTGCGGGAATTCTGGACGAGCGTGCACGGGAAAAGTTGTTATCTTTGAACGAGTCAGCTACAACGTGGGGGTATGCTTGTCTAAGCGTTCGCCAAAGGGAGAATATCTCGCACCAGCTACGTGAATTCACTGCCCATCCAGTTGTCGATGCTGTTCACGCAGTTGATAAACCACGGACTCCAAATGAACCTCAAAAACAGTTCGTGTGCTATCGTTGCGGGGTGCAACATGCTCGCGTTTTTGAGTGTCGCCATAAAAAAGCATCTGCCGAAAATGTGATAAAATAGGCCACCTAACCCGCATGTGCAGATCGGAACCCGACCCACCAACTAATCTTAATCGAGCGCCATACTAAGCTGCCGTTTACGGAGAAAACCGTTCTGAAAGACCCAGACAACGATCTAAATCCTGTCTACTTGAATACCGTATTACCCAAAAAGTGCCCTCCATATACGATTCGTTTGCTGATTGAGAATGAACCGATGGAATTGGAACTGGACACAGGGGCTGCAGTTACCATAATAAACAGTGATTCAATTAACAGTCTGCCACTCTTACAACCATGTAACTCCGAATCGCAAACCTACACGGGAAATCCCATTATGGTGTTGGAAAGGGCATGGTTAAAGTCAGGCACAGCGAGCGGGAATTATTTTCACCTTTGATCGTGGTACCTGGGAAAAGTCCAAATCTCTTGGGCAGAAATTGGATCCGATACATCCCAGAAAAGATGGAGATTAACGAGGTAGTGATCAATGACAGCACTCTAAACGATCTGTTGAATCAGTTTTCTTCTTTATTCGAAAACATCAGAAAAAGATATTCTAAAATAAACATTGCGAAGCTTCCAATAAGCTACAGGGTAACACCAATACCAAATTTTACAAAGCACGAACATTGCCGTATGCTACGCGTCCCAAAGTTGAATTAGTACTACAACGGCTACAATCCGAGGGCGTAATAATGTCCGTACAACACTCGGATTAAGGTACCCCAATTGTTCCTGTACTCAAACCCGACAGCACATTTCATATATGTGGAGACTATAAGTTCGCATTCAATCAAGCCATCAAGGTGGAAAGGTATCCTTTGCCACGCAACGAAGATTTTTACGCTACGTTATCCGGTGGTCAAAAATTTTATAAACTTGATCTTAGTCACGCATATTCTCAAGTTGGACTTGATGAGGACTCACGCAAATTAACTACCATAACTTCACATCTTTGAATAATTCAGTATACCCGTCTTCCTTTCAGAATAAGCCCCCCTAGCATCTTCCAGCAGATTGTGGATGACATCGTGAAGAATAAACCCTTTGCTTGTGCATATTTGGATGATATCATGGTTTCTGGCCGAAGTGATGCTGAACATTTCAAGACACTTCGGAGTGTGTTGGAACGTTTGGAATCGAATGGACTGCAACTGAAGAAATGTTGACATGAGTTTTGTCCGCATCTGTTTGTTATCTTGGCTACAAGAGGTCTGCATGTTTTACAACATAAAGTATCCCCAATTATACAGACCCGGCAACCTAAGTATGTTGACGAATGATCATTCTTAGAAGTGTTATCACACTATCATTGTATTTTTACTGAGGGCAGCGACTATTTTAGCTATTTTGCACACACTACTACATAAGAACAACTCTTTGGGTGTGGAATGATGCGCAGCACTCCGCTTTCATTCGTGCTAAAAACTGTTTAGAATCAGCGCCAGTTTTAGATCACTAAGATAGAAAAAGCCTCTGATTGTTCAGTGATGCTTCTGAAAACGGAGTTGGAGCAGTTTTGTGTCATAAAATGCCGAATGATGCAATTCATCCGATTGCTTTCGCTTCGGGTGCCTTACAACCGGCTGAAAAACTTGATCGAGAGGCCCTGTCAGTTATCTTTGGTGTCACGAAATTTCACCAGTATATTTGGTTTAGTCATTTTGAGATCCAAACTTAGCACAAACCGTTGATATCCTCATTGGGTGAATCCAAGGGGTTCATCAAATGTTTTTACCTAGAATGCAACGATGGGCACTACTCCTTAGTGCGTATGAATACAAAATCTCTTATATCCCAGGCTCTAACAATTGTACGTCGGATGCCCTGAGTCGGTTATTACAAGCGAACTCCGCGGGGCCAATAGATGAACCGGTGGGGTTAGTTCATTTGATGTAGTACCTCGACACTACCCC